GTGGGTTTCTAGGTTTTCAAAATAAGGGAGCAGGAACCTTTTTGGTAAGAAGGCTATGCATCGAAAGCAGACATCAATGACACTCAGGGATAAAACAAGCAGACCTCCAAAGAGGAGTCCTGAACATAAAAAAAAAAAAAAAAAATTTCATATCCTAACTTTGAGGATGAAGTAAGGACAAAGCTCTGGAGGTCAGTTGCTGGAGTTTGGGCAGATGTAGGTTGAGAAGCTGGGGGCTCAACTAGGCATGTCAGCAGCTATTCCTAACCCTTTTTGCCCCAAAGAGGTCTAAATGACCCTTTGAAGCAAGGGGGAGGAGAGTTGAGGAGTATTTGAAGAGTTGAGGAATGTTATATCCGATAGAAGTTGTTAAAAAACAAACTTGTGAAGTTACATTCCAAATCAAAGGAGGTACAACTATAAGTTAATAGATTTGGGGAAAAAAAAAAAACTTGCTCTACATCCTAAGTTTCTGATGGGGGAGTAAGGCCAAAACTCTGTTGGTCAGTTGCTAGAGCTGGGACAGAAGCAGGTTTAGGAGCGGGAAGCTCAGCAGAAGAGATGGGAAAATTAACAAAGTTTGGGGAAGATCCAACAATGGGAGCTTCTGAATGTGGGGCCTCTACAGTAATTGGGAGAGCTGAAGCTTCAGCAGCAAGGTCAGCAAAAGGGGGAGCTCGGCAACAGGGTCGTCTGAAGAGGCAGGGGGCACTTTCTCTTCCTATTGCAACCGCCTCTGTACCTTCAGGGGGGCACCCTCATTTTCTGCTTCAACCACCTCTGGGCCCTCATCATCAGGGATATCAAAGTTGAAATCGAGGTTAGGGTAGGTCTCCTCAGCTCTTTTCTGAAAGGCCAACCACCCAGAAGCTCATTTGGTGGTGACATCATCTCGCAGCTTGGTAATGTCTTTGTCCCTTGCAGATACAACAACCTTAAACCCTTCAAGCTCACCGTAAAAGGATCCGCTTGCCTCAGATAAAGCAACAAAATCTTGGGTAAGATTGGAAAGGAGCTTTGAGCAGCAAAAGCCTCCTTGTTAGCCTTGGCCCAGGCATCCCTAGCCTTTTTCTCCCCTTTCTTTAGCCTTGGCCTTCGCAACTGTTAAGCCCTCAATGGTGGAAGTCTGCTTCTCTATTTTGTCTTGAAGTTCTTGTAGTTGAGCTTGCAGATCATCATTCTCAAAAGATAGCTTGGATACTTTAATTTCGTAAGCTTTCATCATTTTGACAAAAAATTTTTGCGGAAAGGACCCTGTTCATCAATCTCTTTGCATGAATAGCAGACCGAGGACAAGAGGGAAATAGATAAAAGTTAGTGAAGTTCAGGTAAAAAAAAAAAAAAAGGAAGTGAGAACTTACTGCAGCTAATCCATGATAAACGGAGCTTATTGAATCCTCAAGGGACATTGAGAGAGCCTTTTTTACATTTGAGTTGGGAAGAATTGAAGAAAGGGCTCCAGCAGCGAGGTCAGGGCTGTCGAGAAAAGATCCTTCGCTTTTTTCTACCTTGAGATGTTCCTTTTTCAAAACCTTGGAGCTTTTTAAAAAAAATGATGCAAAGGGGGGATTGAGAAAGGTCAGGATTTGGTTGGTCTCTTCTAGAGCTCTCTCGACCTTAGAGGCTGAAGGAGATGTCTGTCCTGAAGCAGCAACGCTTGGAGTAGAAAACGAAACACCTTGAGAGGGGAGATCAGGGACAGCTGGGGCAGAGAAAGTATATGACATGCCAGTCATGGGCACCTTGGTAGGAGGAATGAAGCCATCGCCAGAGCTAGGTTCTGACTTGCGCTTACCACTGCTCTTGTCGCTATTCTTGATCTTCCTCATTAGAGAAAACTTGGCCTTGAGTTCAGCAGTAGTGGGCTCCATTGAAGATGAACCTCGGAGACCTAAAAACAGCTAAGCCTCATCCTTTAGCGGAGAAAATAAGATAGAGGAATCAAAGGTAGGAGGAAGATGTTACCTGATATATCTTCGGCGAAAAGCGGGATGAGGCCAACAACGAAAAGTGAAAGGGGAGCTTCAACCCTCACCTCTGGAAAGACAAAACTCGTGTTCTACGAGAGCCCAAGGTTGGATGAGCTTAGAATATTTTTCTGGTTTGCACTTTTCCAATTTCTGCAATACTTGCTCTTCTTCAGTGCTGAGCTCAAGTCGGATACCTAGAAAACCAAGGAAAACAAGAAATAAGTTAACAAAGCAGCCAGGAGGTCAGCTCAGACCAGGAGGTCAGACACATTAGCAGAGGTCAGAGGGTAAGGGCCGAGTGTCTCTTAAGGCAAGATAATAGTTGGATAACCACGAGAAGGTCATAAAGCATTAGGAAGCTGTAATCAAGGCACCCAATCTCAACCAACCAAGATCTTCTCCTATAATTAAGGAGAAGCCCATGAAATAAGGACAAGATTCTTGACTAAGATCTTTCTTAGCAGGGAATGACCTTATAAATGCAAGGTAACACTCCCTAACAGAAAAAAATGAGAGAGCCGAGTAGCATGCAATCAGTCTTGTAAACGTTTCGGATAATCTATAAATAGAAAAAGAGCAAGAATCTACATTAAAGAGTGGATTGACCGAGCTCCCGAACTGGTGAACCACTATATTTTCTGTGTCAATCCCTCAATTTCCCCTCAAGACCAATCTTTGTTCTTTCGAGCCTTGTAGCTCAGATCCTAGTAATCACATACTAATCATCTCATTTGTTCAATATCATAGAGTTGCACCACGTTGATTTACACCATCAAATGGCAAAAATAGAAATCAATGAATAATACAACATGCGTAATTAGTTCATTACACTAGTTTCAAAAATTAAATAAGTATTTTTAAATGAAGTTTTAAATTGACTCGTTTACTAATCTAACGAGTTAGCCTTGAACAAAATCTAACCCTATCAACCATTCTCTTGGCTTGAACAGCTTGGTTTTTGTACGTTTCAAACTCATACTATCTAATTGAGCTTATTTTTCCCTTTTTTTGTAGTAAGTGATCCAAGTTCAACACATTAAACTACGATCACACTTGGTTTGTTCATCTCATAAGTAGATATCAAACGGATTGTTCCAAACTTAATGGTTAGTTCCTTTACAATGACCCTAAACTTGTCAACTTCATTCCTCATAACAATTTTATCTTTTTCTTTTTTTAACTCACCTGTGTGAGGGCTGGAGGTGGATAATGCTCTATGCATGTGTTATACATTTTCTAGCGAGCCCTATTCCGAACTTAGTTATGAGGTGACTATGACTTCTTGCCATTGACAAATTTTTCTTGTTTTTTTAAGAAGTTGCCAAGTCTTAGCCAATGAGAGGAGGGATATTAGTTAAAGATTACATTCCATAGATGTGATGTGGCCTTATAAAATATGTTGAGGTAGCATTGTGACCTATCTCCAAGCTTGGATACATTGTGATCTTCCATATCTATGAGAGACATCTCTATACTCATAACTTGAGCTAGAAATACTTAACTTCCTCGTTTGATGATATGGATTACTTGAACACCTTTGCTTGAGGTTAGATGTGCAACTGGAGGTTAGGGTTTAGGCCTTGTTATTGAGCCTTGTCGCATACGAGATATGGAGATATTTTTGGCATCGTGATTAGCAAAAACAAAATTTTCCACAAATCAAATGTTATTGCTTTATATATAAGGTATAGTTTGGAAAAAAAGATATTATCTTCTTGACTTCTACAACTTGTTTTTGGTTGATTCAATTGTGTATGCATATAGAAGTGGGAGAGAGAGACAAAGAGATCTAATTCTTACGTAATTTTGAGATTACTTTGGACTCTCCATCGATAAAACTCAACTAGAATTTGAAATTTTAGAAAGTTGAGGGTAAAATATCACAAAAAATGGAATGAAGGGTTGAGCCAAAAAAAAGAGAAACACTCAATGTTCATTATAAGAAGATTGTTACTATTAATTGTTGTCAATTATTAAGTGATAATGGTACCATGGATGTAGAGGACTCAAAAACTTTTGTGGGTTTTTTTATCTCATGTATCAAAACTTATTCAGTGAAGCACTATAAGTGTATATAGCTTTTAAAGACCATGAAAAAAATATGAATAAAATTAATATGGTAAAAAAAAAAACTAATGCCTTCCCTGCCTCACATAAGTGCAATAAATTTAATGATATTTTTTTAAATGTTTGGCACATAAAATGAAAAGGCGCATGCATAAAATCACATGCTAATATAAACGACAATCAAATTGTCAAGGTCGCTCATAAATGAATCATCGTATCGTTTTGGCATTAGAATGTTTTATGTGAAAGATCGTGTTTGTTTCTTTCCCACTTTTTTCTAGGATGGTTTATTTATTTATTTTTCTCTTTTTTGTTGTCAAAATATACATAACGTTTGAACCCGTATTAGAATTTTTTGATGCAGAAATTGTAATAAAAACCCCGTTGCTATCTACTTTCATGTAATCGAAGAAGTTTCATGGTGTCAAAGGAGAATTAAATTGGATTGGAGGGGCCAAAATAAAAGTTGAACCAAGAGTATAGGGGTAAATTTGTAAAATCAAAACGGAAAAATATCACAACATACATAGGACACCAACGTAATTTAGGAGTTGGAGTTACAAGTATGGTAAAACCTGGAAACCAAATAACGACAGAACACAGAAGCAAAAACAGTAAAAACAATAAAACAAAATTTGCAGTGTCACACCACATTGAAAAAGGGTTTTTCTCTCTTTGATTTCGCCTCACAAACTCAAACACAAACACAAACCTCTCTCCTCCCGAAGAGAGAAAAAGCACACACTCACACAAACTCTCCTGCACCCCAACCCAATCGCCAGTCCTCTCTCTTTCTCCCTACATCTATATACCCATATCAATATCTATCTCTCTTAATCTATCTATATATTAATATATAGGTATAGACGTTTCGATATCAGATTCAGCGTTTTTGAAGCGTTGATTTTGTGTTGTGTTGAGTTTTGTCATCTGGGTTTGATCGAAAGGTGTAGATTTTGAGGTATGCAGGCTGATCAGACGGTGTTGAGCTTAAGACCAGGTGGTGGAAACCGAGGGAATAGAGTCCTTGGACCACGTTTTGAGTCGTCGGCTTTCGGTTCTTCTTCGAATTCTGATCTTCCGATTCTTCGTCCTTATGGCGGTCTTCCTTCTATCTTTACCAAGGTCGTCGCTCTTTCTCTCCTCCCTTGGATCTAGGGTTTTCACAATTCTCTACAAGTATTTGAATTGTTTTTAGCTTATACGCTGTTCTTGATCTTGATTCTTATTGGATTAGGTCTCGTTTGAGCTGTTGAGATCCTTTTTTGTATGTGTAAATAGTTGTTAGCTCATATATATATGTACGTGAGTATGTATGTGAATGCATGTTGTCATTAATTGATTCGATGGATTTAGTTCTCTGTGTGTGTGTGTGTTTTTCTTTTTTTTTAGACAAATATATATATTTCTATTGTGGGTTCTGTTTGTTTTTCATCGATATTTTTTTTTAAAAAGTTTTTCTTTGATTTGAAGTGGAGGGAAAACATGGATTGAATTATTTATGAATGACAGTGCTTGCGTGATTTTCTTTAATGGAGTGTATATTCACAATTTAACATAAGTTGGTTTGGTTGAAGTCTGAGCATTGTTGCTGGGCAGGTGTTATTCTCTTGCACACAGCTTTTTCTTGTGGAGTAACTATTCAGAAAGGAAAGAACACAGTTTTTTGTTTATGAGCCTTATGATCTATGCGATTTGAAATAGAAACATTGCTGCTTATATCCTAACTGTTCATATGATTCTTAAGATGTGTACCTTTCGTAAATATGGACCTATATGACATGTGGGCTTTGGTTGAGCAGGCTGTGAGTATCAAATTTGCCAATATAGAAACCTGTGTAGAAGGAAAGTTCAGAATAGGTTTTTTTTTTTTAAAGATGAACAGAAGGAAATCAATATTATGGGAAACAAGGTCCAATTTTCTCGCCAAACGCCTCCCAACAATCTGTGGTGGTTCACTAGTCACCAATATGTGTAATTGCTTGTTTCTTCTTTTGCAATCATATCATTCGATTGAGTGCATGCCTCTATGTGGAAGGTTATTTCATAGGGCAAGGGGCGAGAGATGGTAAGTTTCCCTTTTTTGTCGTCAGATTCCCTCAGTATGCTCAACTGAAAGGGTATCTCAGCATGCATATTAGTATCGATGATTCTGCCAATGTTCTAATTGCTAAAGAAGATTCCTTTGATAAACTACGTAAGATATCTTATTTTCCTGTTGCTGTCCACGTTGTGCACGTGGATGTTAAATGGAATCCGTTGGTGTTAACAACCCGTTGACCCTTTAGTCTTTTAGCTTTTCTTTAATGACATGTTGAATAATAATTGGAGCCCTGTTTATTATGCATGTTACGTTTGATTTTTTTTTTTGCACGAGAGCTAGCATTTAGGGCTACCCACATTTTGAACTTGTTTCCAAATCAATTTTGCTTTATTGAAAAGTTATGTGGTGAGTTATTTTTAGAGATTTTTGACTATTTCTTTGTTTACTTCTATAGACTGGAGACTCCCGATTTGAGGGCCGTGAGCGTGTCCAGTATACCCGAGACCACCTGTTGCAACTTAGGGAGGTAATGGTTTTTTCTCAATGCTATTAAAGCTTGTACGTGTAACTAGTTTGTTGATAGTGTTGGACTTGTCATTGTGAACTCATGTTTGTTCTCTCTGCTATGATGTTAGTGGGTTACCCGTGTTGCCACTTCTTCCATGAGGAAGGGAAAGTAGTACATGCAGCTATTTGCATAAATTCTAATCTTTGACATGGGATTGAACAGACTTTTGCCAGCTGCCAAGTTTGCCCCGATATTGTTTCACTTTATCATTTGCCTAGTAGTTTATGCCCTTTTTCATTTTTATTTTTTATTCCCTTCTTTTTGTCGTATCTTTGAATTTTATTTGTTTTCCCAGGTATTCCATAAACTCATGCATTTTTTTTCTTTTTGTTTCCTCTCTCTGTCTCTCTTTCCTCCTATGCCTATTTGGAGTGCATGAGGAAGATATTTGTGTCCATTTTGTCTTGCTTTCAATTGAACAATCCTCCTATTTTCTTAGCGAATATCACTTATCATTAAATTTTGCCTCTTCCACGTAATGTCACATGTGGCAAATTGTGACACCCCAAAATTCCGGTGTCTGTAATTATCCGATTGATCATCCATCGACCTGCGGAATACTGGTGGATATCGTGTAATTCGATACCACACCGTTATGCCCCATTTCTCGGGATCCATAATTTAACAAAATTTGGGCAAAGTCTCCTTTGTACGAGGAGCTCTACCCAAAAAAAATAACCTGTACAATATTGACCACACCGGGTCTATCCATCTATTCACAATTGTATAGTCTCGAATACTACCATAATCATCATCAGTACATACATTTATTCGTAAAAGAATAAATGTCCCAAAAGAGTCCCATATATATGCCTTTGTAAATATAAACAAATGTTTGTTACAAAAATTATACAAGGCCAAAAGTAAGTATAAACAAGGGACTACAATGTCAAAATAAGAGCCACAGACCGGCTCTGTCGTCAAAGCGGGCCCATGGCCTCACCTTCGGTGGACACCTATGCAACACCTGAAAAATATTCCCATAAAGGGTGAGCCAACGCTCAATAGAGTAACTCCTATAGAGAATACCTCTCAATTTAAATGCATATGGAATGTCACATGCAACAATCATTCAAATATGTTTATTATGATTGGATGTCATAAATCATGTCATGCCATGAGATGAGACTCACGTAAGCAATACCAACCCCGAGTCCCATCCTAAGCTCCCATAACACATGCAATTTCATGCGCATGTATCCGGGCATTCCAAGCCCCCATCATTGGTGTTATGTACATTCAATGACTAATTAATTCATTTTCTTGTGTCTTTGTGGGGAGGTGATTTATGGTATTACACCAATGAGACACCAACCATCAACGGATCTTCAGGACATCCCACCTGCGGCTCCGTTTTCGCCGTTACACTTTTCTGGAATTTCACCGCCGGAAAGTGTATAAACCAAGTAAGCGGGTTTTGCACCCGAGGGAGAATCTAGCCCTTCTTGCTGTCCCCAACACATTTATCCATTTAATTTTTCGTGCGACTCAGCCGAACCTTGGTGCGACTTTTTCAAGTCCACGATCAACCACCTACGTGGTGATTGATTTCATACCATGCATACACTCTCACCCATGTCAATGCCCATGAATGTAGTGCAATCCATGCATAATGTAATACAATGTCCATTACATAATGAATACAATATAATGACATTTTAACATGATCTCAGGCATGTTTTGTAAGATAATCAACTCAATTAACATACTTGTATTCACTTAGGCATTTAATCAAACACCTAAAGAGCACATCAATTTACACAACTAGTATGCTATGACTTGCAACATGACAACATGTTTATTAATTATATAAACATAAGCACAAGTCCACCAAAATAATTATATGTTAAATAATCATTTAACATACATATTATTGCATAATCACATAACAAGTTAATAATTTTATTAAACTTGATCTGCCATTAAAATATAAAGTAATGCTAATATACAATTAACATGCTTTAAACCACTAACATTAACTTACACCAAGTTAATCAAAATAGAATTTTATTAATCGCAAGGTTAATTATAACTCCTATATTTGACCCACTAGTCACACTAGTCAAGACCTAACATGTGATATACACCCATAGTCTATTCATTCCATATGTCATATTTTAAGTTGAAATTAAATCTAAATATGGGAAACCCTACCTCTCGTAGCGTGAGCCCACTTACTAGAACGCCAAGGAAGTCCAAATTTAGCTTCCTAAGTTTTAGGCCTAGATTATCGGCTTTGATATTCTTTCGGAGAAAAATACGATATTTGGTGTGGTTGCGTAGCTCTCGCTGAGTAGAGCAACTTTAGTTCTTGGCCCAAAGCGATTAAACGGTCCAATCTTCGTAGATCTGAGGAAAAGAAAAGAGGGAAATAAAAATAAAAAAAAACACTCACTTTTCTCTCTCACACTCTGTCTCGCCGTCTCTCCATAAGAAACAAAATTTATATATATATATATATATAGTATAAATTTATTTATTTATTTTTTTTGAAATTTACGTTTTTGACCGATAATTTAACAATTAATTATTATTTTACCCCTTTAATTAGAATTTTTTTTTTAATAATAATAATAATAATTTTTTTTTCGGGTTTTACACAAATAATGTCTCATCTGTCTGCACTATTAGTTACTTCTTATATAGTGTCTGCTTGTGTGAACAAATCTTTTGTAGGTCGGTAACGTTCCTGAGGATATTCTAAAAATCAAGCGAGAAGTTGAAGTTGAATTTTTTGGTGAAGATCAAAGCTGGAGTCGTGGAGAAAGCAATGTGAGTTTCTTGCCTCCTTTCATATGACTAAGCATTTATTCTTCTCCCCGTTTTCCTAATTTGGTGGATACCGTGATGAAGTTGGCACAAAGATGAAACGCTGATATATGTTTCTTTTTTTTTCCCCCCTGGTCAGATATCTTTTTGGAGGTCAAGCAAAGTTTATTAATAATATAGCTATAAACTTCCTTGAGCAACTTAATGGTCTATTGTTAGTTCATGTCATATTACTCTGTTCAATTTTCAGGTGCACAATCAGTCTCAGGGTCGTTATTCTGAGCTGGACAATCGTGATTGGCGTGGTCGTGCTCCACAGTTTCCTCCTCCTTTGGAAGATAAGTCCTGGGATACGATTCGGGAGAATAGAGAGTTTAGTGGCCGATTTGAGTCTAGACAACAGGAAGCAAACCAATATAATGCAAGAGCACAAATCTCTTCTAACCAAGGGGTATTCTTTGCCTCAATAATAAGATCAATCTTTTTATCCCTTCATATATATGGCATGCATTTCATGGATAACCTTTGGAATCTTGCACATGTTTTGCACTTATGGTTATTTCTGTTAATGGTGTAGTATAGGATCTATATCTATTTTTCACGTATGGTATTCTCGAGAAAATGTGTTTTCTTAGTGCTGCATAAATTGATGTTTGAGGCATAGAACTATTACTTTCCACAGTATGTTTATGGGTCAAACTTTTGAACTTTCAGTCCAAGGCTACTTTTATTTGGCAAAGGATGTATATATTTTGGGAACTTGATCTCTATGGGTTATTGAAAAGTAGTGGAATAATAGGTGAGAAAAGTGACTCAATCTTTCAATGGTGAACGAACCTGTCAAAATTTTATTTAATTTGCTAATGGCTGTGCCTGGAGGCACTATACAACACAAAAAAATCTACACATGATAACAGCAGGTGTATGTGTGTCCATAGGATATAGCAGCACCTCGTGTGATACCCGGTTAAGTCTCTCCTCCTTTCTGCAAGCTGATATGGCTTGCATTTCTTTTGTAAGGGAACCAAGGTGACTATACCTGAAGTTCCTCCCCCCCCACCCCCAAAACAATGCACCGAAAAAAAAAGAGGAAAACCAGTAAAATTTGATATTGGGGTTGAAGAGTGAGTGCTTGTTATGCTCTCATAAAGATCACCTAGGCTACCCACAATGGATTGCTTTGTGAGAAAAAGGACTCTTGGGCATTTTCTTGAACATCTTGCGAGCAAGATCGAAAGGAAGACTGGGGTTGTTGGGTGGGTTTGTATGGTGAGGCAGGCGTTGGTTGGGAGTTGAGGTGGTGGGTTTATAATGATTGGGAACTGGGAGATAGAAGGGGAGGAGGATAGGAGTAGAGTGAAGGCGACAAAGATACTTGGTTGTGGCTGGTATTAGCGTTGATGTCCATGCCAATGGTTCTTCGTGGACCACAAAGGAGGTCACCTCTCGTCGTCGCTAGTGGTTGCCGCCTCAATGTGTGGGTCTTGCTGTTCTTCTCTCTTTTCACTGGTTGTTGCTAGAGTAGGAGGAAGGAAACTTTAGGGTTTTGGGGGTGAGAGAAAAGAGAACGGTGAAAGAGAGAGATATAGGGGAGATAGATGTTTTTGAGAAAGTTGGGAGGGAGACATTCGTGTGTGTGTGTGAGAGAGAGAGAGAGAGAGAGAGAGGAGTTGTATATAGAATGAAAGACTTACTCAAATTATTCGGCGGGGAAAAAAATGCGCGGAATATTTAAGATCGTCAAATCAACAATCTTAAAACGATCTGGGACGCAAAATGCTCAACATAAGTTAATGGATTCAAAATCATTTGTACTTTATTATATAGATTTTACATGTCTCCATAAAGAAACTAACGTGGCACATAAAATAAGTATTGTTTGTTGTATTTTGTGTCGTCTCATCCATCTATAATGGAGTCAACATTGAGTACATATCACTGATACATATGTTAGTGTTTGTAACATCTATGGATCTACAATATATGAAAGGAAGATCGAACCTAGTTGAGATATACGTGTCTTTACTCTTTGATTCTCTTGTTAATCCTACCCATTTTTGTTTCATGAATTTTCTCTCTATGGTTGCTTATTTGCTTTCTATATTCTGGATCCTAATATCTCCCATTTAATTCTCCAATAAATTGGTTATGTAAATTTGGGATTTGCAAATATGAAGTAGACGAAGTGATATTGGAATGTAGAACTGGTGCTGTCATGCCCCGCTCTTTTTCCCAACGGGCACCCTCATAGAAAGGCCAAGGGTGTAGCTTAAATAGCCTATCTCAAATACACACTCAGGCGATGTGGGATGTGAAGGATGGCTATCCGATGTAGCCTGTGTGTAACTGGCTGCAAAGCCATGGCCCTGGCCTTCCCTTCAGGGTGTCTTTTTGGTGAAAAAGGACGGGTGTGATAGGTACTACATATATGAGTGTTCATATTATGTTCTGTGCCTAGCTATTTTTTGGGATTGCACTGCAGTAAGGCTGTCATATATAGCTCATTACCACCAGTGGATCATATTGCACTTCTGCTCAAGTTGCTTGGGGTTGTAAAATTGGTTGTGCTTCATATAATTTATATACAAAGTTTTCTGCATCCAGTCATTGACCTTGCTCCAATCAATCTATGTTGCTTGAATTAGGCCATTAACTAGAAAGGAAACTTGAATGGAACGCTACCTCAATATTTTAAGATAGTTGTCAGTAAGTGTTAAGCTGTAGCTTGATGTAGTGAAACCCTTTTTAATTTGTGGAAGTAAAGGTGATTTTACTTGTACAGTTAATCCAAAGGGTGATCTTTTATATTGAAGGTGTGAAGGTGTCGTTCACTTTAGGGCTTCTAAATAATTGGTATACTGAAAGTTCAAAGCTTCAGTTCTCTGGCTTCCCAGAACAGAAAGCCGGGTGGATTCATTTACATTTTGGTTTGTGTTTGTTGATCCAATAAAGGGATAGTCTGCCTTGGTTTGATCTCCCAACTCTAGGTGGGGGAAGGAAAATAATGTGTCTTGCAGTTGACTTCTGCTATGCCCCCTCAAGTTTGAGGTTCTGAGTGGATGTCAATCTAATTGGCGTTCACCCTCTGCTGATCTCAGGAAAGGGATGGTCTGATTAGGTTTGAGCTATTAAAAGCTGAGTTGTTTTTTGGGGTTGGGGGGTGGGGGGAGTATGCCTCACAGTTCAGTTAAGCTTGGTCCTCAAGTTTGAGGAGCCTGAAAATCAATATTCTTTTTCAAGTGGATAGGAATAAATGTGGTGTGGAATCTGCTGGTTCCAGTTATTGATTAGAAAGTAGACTTACTGACCATGGTCTAAGGTTGTGGTATCACCGAGGCATATCGTCGTGGGACGCATAGTGGAATCTGGAGATATGCACGAAATGTTAGATAAAAAACTAAGTTAGAGTCATGATGAGGTGGAATCTGACCTTTTTGGGAGGAGGTGGTTCTTGAGTCGAGTTGTATCGCCTCGGCCATCCCCGTGCCGAGACCGCTACACGATACGCGAATAACACGAGATTCAAGCGAATTGGCGTTGACTCAGTCATGACTCGGAGATATCGGTTGAAATCAGAGTCGAATCGTTCCAATCGGACCGAGTTGTACCAAGTCTCATTGAGTTAGACCGAGTCATCAATAGATCAATGTAAAAAACCAGAAAAAAGAGATGGGGAGAAGAAGAAGACCAATTCTACATGAAGATTCCCAGACCTAAAGATGTAGAAACTAAATTAGAAGAAATCAAAAAACCCTAAAATAGAAATTGAAAGGATTTGGAGAAAAACCTATAGATCATGTACAGTACATACAACGGCTGTAGTACAGGCTATACTGTACAGCCCCTTCCTTCTTCTCCATTCGAGTGTCAGAGTAGCGACTACAACCCTTTCTTCTCCATTCGAGTGTCAAAGTAGCGGCCCCTCTTTTTTTCTTCGCACAGGCAACGCCGACAGTAAGCGGGTAAGGTCTCTCTCTCTCTCAGTCGTCATTGTCACCGTCGCTGGTGCTTTAAGAGAATTTGTGTCTTGGTCTAAATATCTCTACTGAGTCTTTATACTAAGTATTATTATAATAGACAAATAAGAGTGTCAGATTTTAATAAAATTATATTTTATTAATTATATACATATAAAAGAGATTTTACAATTAAAAACATAATACATATGTAATTTATAAGTCAAATAAAATTTCTCAAAAAAATTTATATATTCTAAAACGCAAATTAACATAATGTTTTTTGTATTTTTTAACTTTTTTGACTATGTATAAATAAGTATTAAAACTATATTATATCTAGATTTATCCTTATGATGAAAATAACTTACTCGGTTTGTATAGTTAACTTAGAGACAATAATTACGATTTAAATCTTATCTATTTAGGACATGATGCATGGATTATGTTTATATTTTTTTTATATTCTTTGTAATTTTATTAGAATTTTTTGGACCTTCTATCAAGCATTTTACCCGTATTGATCGATACCGTACCGCGACCGATGTGTATCAGTGCCCTCCGAGTTGAGAGTCAATACCGCGACTTTAAACCATGGTTCTGGTGGCGTGGAAGGTTTTAAATTTTGGATGTGGATGCCGCTACAGTTCGTGTGATGTGGATAAAGGTGGGGATGGCATTGCGTGATGAGAACTAGTTTCTGGAGCTATTAATTTTTTCATGGTAATAGAATGGAATTTGTGCAATTTATAGGGAGAAGCATGTTTTAAATTGCAGCTTCCTTGAATATGAATTATCTAATTTGTTATTTACCTTTGTAAATATGATTTTCATCCTTATATGTGGGAAATACTATTGTTTTCATTAATTATGGTTAAATTTTAGTTTATAAATAAATTGGACAGTAAAGTGTCACGCTTTAATGAAATAGCCTTTTTTTTTTTTTTTGGAACAGAAAAATAACTTAAAAGTCGATGTAACTATCTTAAGAGGCTGATGAACTTAGATTTCACCAATGCTTAATTCCAATTATGAAGAAAATGGAATTTTCTTTAGAAGTGAATGTTACCAAAATCAGTGATACCAATTTACCAAATGAAAGAAATGTAGTGAGTAACTATCTTACCTTGGATGCCAGGATCAAATCCTTCGGAATATTTTATTACAGGGTTTCAGTTCAATACTTTGTTTCTATACAATAAATTTGGATAATTCAAACTGGAAGTTGGAAGAAAGAGATCTATGAGGGGAAGTTGAAAAAGAATATTTGAGATTGTGCCTATTCATGGTGGTTGTGGTGGTTTGGCTTTGCTGTTGCTTGTTGATTGTGATGATGAATGAGACAATGGATTTCTGGTGGACTGGTGGTAGCTTTAGGGACAGTTGTGATGTGGTATAATGAAATTAGATTAGTTTTAACATTATGTTTTGAGATGTTTAGAGACTATAGAAATATCCAAGCTGGTGAAACTTTTATAGTAATGAATTGCATTCTGAAACCAATATATGGAGTCAAATGACACAAATCTTGATTCCCTTTAATTCCATAATTGATTCCACTATGCAAATGAATCTTAAAATTTTCTGCTTTTTTCGATATTAGTTTTCTATTTATTAGTATATGGGAGAAAGCGAACTCTTCTGCACTTAGTTTTCTGTCTCCTCCCTTTTACAATGTATGCTAGTACTCTGGCAGATATCCCTTCTTGTTATTCAAAGTAACATACTTTGTTATGCGTAGAGTGTTTGCTCTGAAAATTTGTCTTGAGGAGAGCAGCTTTTGGGGTCTGATATTTTTTTTGGTCCTTGACACAGGTAGGCGCTACTCCTGCTCTAATCAAAGCTGAGATGCCGTGGTCAGTTCAAAGGGGGAATCTATCGGAGAAAGAACGCGTCTTAAAAACAGTGAAGGGGTAATCTATTACGAAGCTCAGTATTGTTGTTTTAATGTGCATATTTGTCATTGGATGAGTAATAATAATTTATTTTTTCTTATGAACCATCGATGGATTTGCAAATTTTAAAGTTGAGATTCTGTCACTTCCTGGCATTACTCTAGTTTCTGAGGCTTGAATCACTTGAATATCCTACTAAAATGGTTGAGATCAACTACAGAGCAGGAACCATCTTTTTAAATATCCAAGTCTATGAGTGATTCTGATATCATTGGTTGGATCTTGAAAATTTAAAACTTCTAGTTTACATACATACAGTGTCTATGCAATAGCAAACAATTTAGAAATGTATCAGTTTTACCTGATTTGAAGTTGGTCAAAATGCTTCTGTAGTGTCAGGCCTGATACTGGAGGCTCTGCCAATATGATGAAAGATAATGAGAAATTTACACTTTCAAAACTTATAATGGCATGCAATGTTGTGACTACTTGTGAGGAGAAAGTTGTTTGATGATTGGAATAAATTTCTAGTATTAAGTTAGCATGATCAGATAAAAGCACTACTGTATCAAATATTTGATTCCCTCGACTCTTTTTTTTTTTTGTGCAGCATACTTAACAAGTTGACTCCGGAGAAATTTGATCTTCTCAAGGGTCAATTGATCGACTCTGGGATCACAACAGCTGATATTCTAAAGGTTCCTCATAGTTCTAATTATTCTTGTTTGATCATTAAGCTCCTCTTTCTTTGTTTTTGTCTCCTGATTATGGCCATATTTTATGGTTACTGCAAAAGCTCAATGTAATTTCTGCTTGCAATGCAGGAAGTTATCTCCTTGATATTTGACAAGGCTGTTCTGGAGCCCACCTTTTGCCCCATGTATGCCCAACTGTGTTTTGACCTCAGTGAGAAGCTACCTGCGTTCCCATCTGAAGAACCTGGTGGGAAAGAGATCACTTTTAAACGAATTCTCTTAAATAATTGCCAGGAGGCATTTGAAGGTGCTGATAACCTGAGGGAAGAAATAAGGCAGATGAATGCTCGTGAGCAGGAGTTGGAACGCAGAGATAAAGAAAGAATAGTCAAACTTCGCACTCTTGGAAACATACGTCTAATTGGAGAGCTTTTGAAGCAGAAGATGGTACCTGAAAAGATTGTTCATCACATTGTTCAGGTTCTTTTTGGAGCTCTCTCTCTGTCTCCCTTGCTATCCCTTTTTGTTTAGAATATATCGTGTGATATCTTGTGTATTTGGAAGATGGTCTTACCATGCTATATTATATTAACAGGAGCTTCAAGGGCAGGATAGCAAGATTTGTCCTGAAGAGGAAAATGTTGAGGCCATATGTCAGTTCTTCAACACCATTGGTAAACAGCTTGATGAGAGCCAAAAATCAAGGCGTATTAACGATATTTACTTCAATCGATTGAAGGAATTGTCAACGAACCCTCAACTGGCACCGCGATTGAGGTTCATGGTCCGTGATATTCTTGATTTGCGCACAAATAATTGGGTTCCCAGGCGGGAAGAGGTGATTTTCTTATCATCCTATTGCTTGATTGTGTTTTTGGGTTGTTTTTCTGTTGACTTTTCCCTTCTTTGACCTACACAGGTGAAAGCCAAAACCATCACTGAGATCCATTCGGAAGCAGAGAAGAATCTGGGGTTGCGTCCAGGTGCTACTGCAAGCATTAGAAATACTCGTGGTATTGCTACTGGTGCATCAGGTAGTATCAGCCCCGAGGTTTTCCCTATCAATCGCCCTGGCTCTGGTGGCATGATGCCTGGAATGCCTGGAACGAGGAAGATGCCTGGAATTGATAGCGATAACTGGGAGGTTCCTAGGTCTCGATCCATCCCAAGGGGTGATGGCTTAAATAGTCAGCCTGCTGGACGTGTTCAGCCACCATTGGTTGGCAAGTCGCCGGTGTTGAACACCCGACTTCTGCCTCAGGGTAGTGGTTTCATAAGTGGTAGGACTAGTGCTCTATTGCAAGGTGGTACAGGTGCCCCTACTGTCCGCCCACCCCAATTTGGTGTTGTTATGGACCCTGCATCACAAGTGCCTCCTCCTGGTAGACCTGTTCCAACTGTATCTGTGCTTCCTGTTGCTGATAAACCAGCGGCTCCTGCAAGGTTTAAGCCAGAGGAGCTTAGGAGAAAAACAATCTCTCTTCTGGAAGAATATTTTAGTGTCCGAATGTTGGATGAAGCATTACAATGTGTGGAGGAATTGAAATCCCCCAATTACCATCCCGAGGTTGTCAAGGAAGCCATTAACCTGGCATTGGAGAAAAGTCCTCCCTCTGTAGAACCAGTTGCGAAACTTCTGGAGTACTTGTTTGCCAAAAAAGTTCTTACTGCTAAGGACATAGGGACTGGATCTTTTCTTTATGGCTCGACGTTGGATGACATTGGCATCGATATTCCTAAAGCTCCAAATAATTTTGGCGAGGTTATTGGAAGACTGGTCTTGTCTGGGGGATTAGACTTCAAGGTGGTGAAGGAGATCTTAAAGAAGGTTGAGGATGTCATGTTCCGGAAAGCCATTTTTGCTGCTGCAATGAGGATTGTTAGCTCCAGTCCGGCTGGCGAAGGGCTGTTGAGTTCACAGGCGTCTGATATCGAGGCCTGCGAGAGCCTACTCTAGCAACTGTGCTCCTCCCTTGCCAGAGTATGTTTCTGTAACCTCGTAGATTGATTGTGCTCTATTTCACTTTTCTTTACAATGCTCCTCCGAATTACATCCACTGGAACTGTGCAACTTTTACACCATGTGGTGAGGTGGAGCCTGCGAAGAACAGGTGATTTTGCGCGCTGTATATTTTCCTGAGGTCATAGTAGTGTGTGTTCATGAAAGGTAGAAGATCAGATCATAGTGCAATGGACTTTGATCTCGATTGTGGCTAATTATGTGCCATAGTTGCTCGAGATGAAGGTTCCTTTATTGGACTCAAAAGTGTTTTGTATTTCGTGAGTTTTTCAATTATTTTCGTTTCTTGACTTGTTATTTAGTTTTGGAATGTGACTTCATAAATGTGACTTCTATTCCGTTGCATCCTTTCAAACGATAATGTTATGAGGTATTTTTACATTCTTATGTATGTTGTTTTTCAGTTGGGTATTGAATGTATCCAGTTTTGTTGCATGTCTTTGGCTTCTAGGGTGTGGTATGTATGATGTTTCCAGGCTGATGGGCGTATTTTTTGGTGGCGTAAATGTCGAAGAAAATGGTGCATTTGCCTGATCTTCAATGGCACTTTTGTGTGGTTATACAACAGGCTACCTACTGGGATATCTTTGTATCTGGTATCTTTTTCCCAAGTTGACGAAACTTTGAAACTTTCTTTCATAATTACCAGCAGTTTGTAACTTATTGTTCAGTCTATTTTTTAATGAAAGTGTGATTTAGATCTACAATTTCAATGTTAGAGCGTGTTTGCAGAACACACTTGCAAAAAAAGAGAGAAAAAAGAAAACCTTAGAATGTGCTTTTATAACTGTTAAACAATTATTTACTCTAAAAGCTTAATATGTTAAAGAGGGTAGCTGTGAGATTTTAACAGATGATCTTTTGCACTTGTATTATGTTAAACTATTCTCTAATCTAGAAGTTGAAGTAGTTAAAGCGGGTGTAATTTTAGTATTTATACTTCAACAATAACTAAAATATAGTGTTACATTGTGTGTATAGAGGGGTAACAAATAGCAATAACAGGCTACATGTACTAGTTAATGTACCAAATCTGATGCATAAAACTGCGGGTGCATAGCAGTTGCATTTAGCAAAACACATTACTGTGAGCTGTTAGCTAAACATGTTGCCGTTTTAATGAGTTTGGACAACAATTTTTTTTCTGGGTAAATTGCACAAATGCTCTGGATAAACTAATTATTTTTCTTAAAAATAACGGTTAATGAGATAAATTGTGTTAGAATTAACTATTAATGTGTTTCATTTAACGGTTAATCTTAATGGTTATGGAGCGGACTAGTGTTCATGTGGTGGAGGACTAGTGGTTATTAATATCAGGGGCTGCAAGAGGAGAAGACAAGATGAAACAACAGTTATAGAGATCACTCTACTTGTTTTTTTTTTTGTTTCAACTGTCAGTAATGTTTGGATCAGTTTATGCGTATTTTTACTAATCTCTTATTCGATCGGGTTAAAGCAGATCATTTACAGTGGGACTAAGGTATTCATAAGGAATAAATCATTATGGTTTGAGCTTCAAAAACTGTCAAAATTTGAACTCAAGATGTCTAAATTTAGAGCTTATCTTTGTTACCGCTTAATCTAATTTTGAAGTTAGGTTTTCACTTGGTTCAACAAACTCAAACGACACCATGGGAAAATGGATTGACTTCAGTAAAAATTTGGTCTCAAAACACCAAGATTGGGAAGCTGGTGCAACTACTTTGTTTGACAATGAGTTTCCAAATCTCTAATTTGGTGTAGGATTCGCTGAGTTGCGTCTAAAATTTGTCATAAAAGGAGTTGAAATTGGATTAGAAGCTGATTGTTTTGCGTCTAAAATTTGTCGTAACATAGTTGTTAGGTTTGTTCAAACAGAGAATAAGTCATGATCTTGATCCAATGTTGGTTGTCCTTGCCATTTTAACAAACCTTCAAATTGCTGTTGCTCTGATCATTACCTGGTCCATGTGATAATTATTATTGGGTGAGCAATTTAAATAAGTTATGTCCATTTCCACCTTAATTTTTTTATTAGCTTATGCCACAATTCTTTTGATTAAAAAAAGGCTTATTTAGGTGGATTCAAAAAATTGATTTTATAACCTTTTTTTTTTGATTTTTTGTAATTTTATCTTGGGTCTTACATAAATTTTTAATTTATTATATTAATAAAATATTATTAGTTAGGTAAAAAAGTATAAAATTCATATTTTTGGAATTATTATGTATATCTCTCTCTCTATATATATATATATATATATAATTATTTTTTTATTTTGATACAAAAAAACAAAAAAAAAATACTCTAAACGGACTTTTATAAATTTTTCAATTTTTTAAAGAACATCCCCAATAATTTTGGAATTTTTTTAATTTTAATTTTTTTACTAAATTTTGTATATAAAAAACCCAATTCCAAACAAACCCATGAACGCTCGGCAGAGGAGAAGAGAAGAGAAGAGAAGTTCAAGTTGGCATTTTGGTAATTTAGGCACTGGAAAAAGAATTCAAAAAATCCCCAGGGATAAAAATGTCAAAAACTGCGCAATCACATTATGGTCGCACTTCTCGTTCAGCTGAGCTCGGAAAGTCGCTCCCGCGCATTTTCGAGAGAACAAGTTCTGGAGAGAGAGAGAGAGAGAGAGAGAGAGAGAGAGAGAGAGAGAGAGAGAGAGAGAGAGAGAGCAATGGCGTCGTCAACGGAGGAACAGCAAACGAAGGCCGACCAGAATCAATCTCTGAAACTCGCAATAGCAATGGCACTTCTTCGATCAAAGCTCATCCAAAACCAGAAGCCTCCTCCTCCTCCTCCTCCTACTACTACTGATTTTCAACCCTTTTCTTCTCCGGCTCCTTCTCAACCCCAGGGCCTCAAATGGAAACGCAAGGTCCACCTCTCTCTCTCTCTCTATTATATGTATATATCTCTCTATATTGTTATAAATTGAAATGAAATGCTAATTTCCAACAAATCATCAAAATTTCCAGGCGAAAGAGAGAAAACAAGAAATTCTCAGACTCAAAGAAGACCTCAAAGAAGCCGAAGGTCTCTCTCTGTTTGTGTGCTTGTGTGTGTATAATTATCTGTTATGTATCTGTTTATTCATAATTTCTGTTTCTGATTAGATGACATGCAGTGTGATTTGTTTCCTCAAAGTGCGAATTGCAAATGCTATTTCTTTGATAATATGGGGAATTCCAGCCCTATGCGCTTTGGAGATGGATCTGATAGGAGATTCAACGACGTATTGAGGCGAAGATTTCTCAGTCAAGGTTACAATCATTTATTTTTTCGGTGGGGATTTTGATTATCGCTTTTGCTACCGTTACTTACAATGTTTTTCGAACTCTTGGTTTTGCAGTAAGATTGAAGGAAAGGAAGAGAAGAAGAGATGGTTTGACAGAGAGGTTACGCATTTCAGGTACATGAAGTACTTCACAGAGTACTTGGTGTTAATTATCCATTTATCCTAGCAGGTGTTCTGAAGTCCATTGGAATTTTTATGTTTTGAATTTCCAAACCTGGTGTTTTCAATTTGTTGGGCGGCCCAATGACCGCCATTGCGGTGCTTCCAATTTATATTTTTTGTTAAATGAAAAATTGTCCCTTACATTTTGATTATGTAATCATAACTTTCTAGAAAGTAGTGGGCAGTTGTCACAATTTTAAGGGTGAAGTGGTCAAGCTATCAAGTGCGAGAGCTGGGGTTTGAGTATAAGAGCAGCTACCTTGGGCGACTGGTGCTAAATTTTAGGCCGGCATGTATCCATGTCTACCTCTTTCAGCAGTAGGACAACATCAAGAAATGACCCTTTTTATTTACAATGTGTAGCTAGTTTACATAAAATTCTTGTTGTGATGATCGCTTGGACCAAACGAAGACTTTTGTGAACTAAGTTGCTGTAAGAGGCAAAAAACATATGTACCTCCTACAGAAGTGAAGGATAGATATCTTGGATATAAGTGAACTCTAAACTTGATCTCCCAGTCTTTCCTCCCTGCAAAATGAACAAACTGCCTAAGATCAAAGTGCTTCGATCGAAGGCACTCCGATGCTTAAGTCAGTAATGGAATTGAGTGAATTGCAAGAAGACAAGGAGAGTTTAGCATACCTTTTACCTTGGATCCTTATGCCTTTTATAGAGATTTGCTTAGTTCGGGTTTGCATGATTTTTGATTAAAGGTGGTACACTTTCTTTCAATCAGGCGATTCTGTTCAAGAAGTTGCTGAGATCTCTCCAGCAATTTCTTCCGCCGAGCCTATGATCATGCCCATTCGTTTAACCAAAATGCTTGAGTTATAGGTATCTTTTTAGCACCATATTTATTGTTTTAATAGCTCGGTCATGACAAGGACCGAGCTTTTCCCTTTCTTCCTGAGCTCTTTGAACAGCTCAGTTGTTAGCTGATGATTGACTTGTGATGTCTTTCTCATGTGATTGGTCTTGTCATCCTCATGTGAGTTCATTAAATGTTATTACATGTGGCGTAAAGGAAGTACCCCTTTCATTTTACCCCAGGAAACGTGTGACAGACACTTTTTCGGGCCTGTTTGGTAACTGTCTTTGTCTTGTATTTTGTGTTTTTGTTTTCAATTTTTGTCAAAAATAAAAACAAAGACATATTTGGGTATTATTTTTGTTTTTGTTTTATATTAGTTGTCTTGAAAAAAATAGGAACAAAGATAAAAAAATGGGAACAAAAAAATTGTGTTTCAGAAAACATTCAAAACACAAAACACACGTGCAACTGTTGAAGTTTTTAATAAGGTCTCGGATTCGACTCTCATTATCAACAAAAATGTGTTATTTTTCGTGGAAGTATAAAAATCCATTCCAAGCGTCTCTCCTCCCATTGCTTCTCTCTCCGTCTCTCTCCTCTCTCCCTCATTTTCTCCTTTCTCTGTATCAGACGAACGGAAGAAACCCCATCGCTGCCTCTCCTCCCCATCATTACCTATCTCATCCCCAGTGCTGTCTCTCTCCTCCCCATCGCTGCCTCTCTTCTCCCCGTCTTCTCTGTGAAACCTTAAAATTGTGCATATATATGCACAAATCATGTGTATATATGCACAGATCTGTGCGTAGAAGGTGAAGAAGAGGATAGATGATTGCCTTCAAGCCATGGCCTCCACTGTGAGGAAGAAGATCTGTGCGTGTGTGTGTGTGTGTTGTGTTAATTTGGGATTTAATTGCCAAATAGATACCAAATATATTTAGGATAAAATTTGAATTTATTACCAAACATATTTTTTATTTTTATTCTCATAATTTGATATACAAAAACGACTCTCAAACATATTTTTTATTTTGGTGTTTATCACAAAACAAAGACAAAAATTATCTCTGTTTTTAATTTTTTTCAAGACGCGAAAACAAAAACGTTACCAAATGACCCTTTCGTCTGTCAGTCGTCTCATGCCCCCAAACCATCATTGCGCGTACCTTTGAGACATCCCCCTTCGTTTTGGCGGCGTGTCTTACATTTAAATGCTGCCTCTTAGACTTCAGTTTACCTCCTTTATAGGTGACCTTCTTCATCTCTTTCTTTACTCTGCCTCCTTACCTTCAGATTTCTTTGCTTTTCCATTTCACTCTGTGTTTGCCTTGTCTTCCATTATGGCTCCTCTCATCCCTTCTGAAATTCCTGCCTTCAAAGCCAAATACAACATTCCTGACGACGTTGACATACGAGTCGCTGGTATTGATGAGCCTTTGATAGGTACCAGGGAGAGCATCCCCATCCATATGCGTGCAATAACTGAAGGCGGTGTTCGTTTTCCACTTGACCCTCTGCTTCTCTGGTTGCTATCAACAATGAAGCTGTGCCCCATCCAGTGTTGCCCCAATTTTTTTAGAATAGTGATGGGCGTGGCTGCTCTGAACAAGCTTCTGAATTTGAGTCTTGGTTTATGGGAGATTCTGTACTGCTACATTATCAAACCAGTCGGGGACAACTACTACCTTGCCGTGAGGAAGAAGGATCGTTATCTGGTGACCTATCTTTCAGATTCAAACAAGGGCCACGAGAATGATGTGGTCTTTGTTTCTAGGAATTATGAGTATGCAAATGGCGTTACTCTTTACCGTTGTTCTTATGAGAAGGGCGCATCAGGTGACTAATGTTTTTACTCCGATTTCTTAATTCATTCTTATACACTCTTCTATTGTTTCTTCTTACACTCTTCTTCCCCTTTCTTTATTTTTTTATTTTTTTTATTTTTTAAAAAGGCGAGACTGTTAAGGAAAGAATTCTTGAACGAGCTATCAAGATGGATGAGCTCAAGAAAGTTTGGGATTACAATGACTCCATTTTCTGTTGTGTTGCTCATACGTTGCTCGGGTATACCCCGACGTACATGTCATTCATCGCTGTCCCAAACCAACCTAACTCCTCACTTGCTGCTGATCGTCAGTCTATCCAGGCAGCTCGGGACCAGACTCCTCGTTCTCACAAGAAGACATTGCCCGGTCCTTCTGGAAGAAATAGATCGGTTAGAAATTTCCTTGACTTTCTGTCCACTGTCGAGGCATCCGTTCTTGTCGAATCTTCCATGCTAAGTGATCCTCCTATTCTTGCCAACTCTGTGTTTGTAGAACCTGAATCTGAGGCTTCTGTCTTCTTCCTTCCGAGCCGAGTGACATTGTTCAACAGGTCAAAGAATCAGTGATTTGGGCCCCAGATTCTTTGATTCCTGCTGAGATCCCTCCCTTTGCAATTGTTCATTCCCCCTACGACCATCTGGATTCAATTCTTGAGCTTTTTGAGGACCCAGCCCCCCAAAAGTGCAAAGTTGCACAGTCTAATGCAATGCCTTCTGCTATTCCCCTTTTCTGACCTGTTCTCAGAACAAAAAGGAGAAAGATTACAGTGAAGGATTCTACAGCTAGGGGGTAATTCTTCCTCGAGACTTAGCCGCAAATGAGGCTTTGTCTGACGATGAAATTACTCGCCAAGCAATCCAATAGATGGTTCTGGTATTTTGCCTCGTTGAGAAGTGATCTGTCTAAACTCCTCATTTTCCTTTTAACTTATAAGGGCTTCAAAAAGTGGATGAAGTTAGAGCTAGGATTGCGAGAAAAGATAAAGCCGTGAAGGATACTATTCATGCCCGAGCATTTGCCTTGGTGAAGAAAAAGTCTACGGATGAAGAGTATGCCAAGCTCTGCGAGAAAGTTTTGGTTCTTCAGCTCAAATGCTTAGCTTGACTGAGGAGAACAAAAAGCTTTCTGCAGAGATTGAAGGGCTGAAAGAATTTGAGCATGCATCTAACATGGAGCTCTCCTAATCCCAGTTCGATCATGCTAGTCTCTTGGAAGAATTTAAGAAGTTTAAGGCTGAGGCTAAGGATTGAGAGGATTCTGCATACGAACAAGGAATGGAGAAGGTGGAAAATGTCTTGGCTGTGCAGATTCCTCTATTGGAGAAGGTGTACTTCAGCAAGGGTTGGCATGCCACCCTGACTGCTACTGGAATGCCTCAATCTTCTGAGCTTTATTCTCGTCATTCTCTGCCTAGCTTCTCCCACCTCCATCTTCCTGAAGACAATCACTTAGAAAATATTTAGTTCACTTTGTAACTTTTTGAAGTATCCACATGAAAGTTCTTTGGAAAGATTTGATAGCTTTTTTTTTTGAAGTATAATGAAAATTTTGTTTCCTAGCTCTTTGTTCGGTGTTTCTATTTTCTTTTTGGTTTTTGTCTAAAAATAAAGGATTTGCTCAAGAAGTCGTGGCCCTTATTTGGCTTTTTTTCAATGAACTCGGTCTCAACATTGTGACCATCAAAACTTAGGTTCCTTTATTCAGTCTTTATCCAAATAGCTCGGTCCCAGCTTAGGGATCATTAAAATACTTAGATAAATTTATGTTCTTGAAGTTATGACCCTTGTTTAGCCCTTCTTCAGAGAGCTCTGTCCCAACATAGGGATCCTTCAACACTTAAGAATAATTTAGGTTCTAGAAGTTATGACTATTGTCCCTTCTTCAAGGAGCTCGGTTCCAACATACGAACCTTTTGACACAAAATTTAAGCTCTAGAAGTTATGGTCCTTACTCGGCCCTTCTTCAAAGAGTTCGGTCCCAACATATGGACCTTTTATCGCTTAGAAAAATTTAAACTCTAGAAGTTATGGTTCTTACTTGGCCCTTCTTCAAAGAGCTCGGTCCCAACATAAGGACCATTTATCACATAGAAAAATTTAAGCTCTAGAAGCTATGACCCTTATTCGGCCCTTCTTCAAAGAGCTCAGTCCCAACATAGGGACCTTTTATCACTTAGAAAAATTTAAGCTCTTGAAATTATGGCCTTTACTCGCCCTTCTTCAAATAGCTCGGTCCCAGCTTAGGGACCATTAAAATACTTTAGATAAATTTAAGATCTTGAAGTTATGGCCCTTATTCGGCCCTTCTTCAATTAGCTTGGTCCCC